AGTTTGCTTTTCAGCTGTCTTATAATATATGTGGCAGTTGTTATTCTCAGATATTTATTTCAATTTTCAATTTAATTTTATTTTCAGATATTTCAAATCACATTATATCATAATAAACAATGGAAGTCCGATCTAGTGAACATTGTCAACTATTCGCAACCAAACACTTGAAATTTTGACAGTGGCATACGGCGATTGTACTCTGAGTCAGAAAAATATTTACAAGTGGTACAAGCCTTTCACAGAAAGTTGAGATGTGAATGGCGACGCTTACCATGGACGCCGCAGCACATCAATAACCGATAAAAATATTGAGAAAGTGAAGAAAATTGTTATAGATAATCGTCGTAGTGAAGTTGCTGAGAATGTTGGCATATCGGTTGGCTCATGCCATGCAATTTTTTTGTAAATTTCGGGCATGAAGCGTGTTGCAGCCAAGCTTGTCCCAAAATTGCTGAATTGTGACCAAAAAAAATCGTCACCTGAAGACGGCTCAGCTTGAATGACGAATCATCGATATATGGTCATCAACGATTCCTGGCTTTTCCATAACGATAATGCACCTACTCACTCGTCATTGTTTTTTATTATTTTTTTGGCAAAAACAACACCGTAATCATGCCTTAGTCCCGTATTCGCCAGATTTGCCCCCCTGCGATTTTTTCCTGTTCCCAAGATTGAGGAGACCCATGAAAGGACGGCGTTTTGCGACGATTGAGGAGATAAAAACCGAATGGTATATCAGAACTACTCCGAGGATTCGAAAAAACGCTGGCGGAAGTGTACTATATCTGAGGGTGATTACTTCGGAGAGAACAAAGTAAATATTGATGGACAATTAAATATTTTTTGAGAAAAATGAAAATTCATCTTATACCATCAAGTATACAACTTCTACACTGGTGGTGTTTTTCGAACTCACAAAGGTGGTCAAAGAGTTAAAAAAAATTGATTTCTATAAAACTTGAAATATAGTTGTAACCTCTTAGACACCGAAGCAAAGGGTAATTAATGATGTAATTTGTATTAGGTAAAGAAATATTGAAAACTTGATAATGACGAAGTGGATATTGTGGAATACTACTACGAGTATAATAAATAAGTTCACTGATTGAAACACTATCTGCAAAACCATTCACTATTTTGTACGTGAATTTAATATCAGTGAAAGTTCTTTTTCCTGCAATACTGATAAGATTCAACTCTCGACTAAGTTGCAGTTAATCGGTGAATCTCGAAAATATTTTTTTGTTTCTATATTGTTTCTATTTGTTTCGTATATGATTCCAAATTGAAGAAGCCAAGCTCAGAGAACTGGTAATGTGAGACAGGAGAAGTGTTCGTATTTTATTTGGATTACTGAAAGGATAACTTTTGCTTGTAACACATCCAAATATTTTCTGATCGATTCGACCGTTACTGGATGAAGATCCAGTGATTTCATAAACTACACCTTCGATTTGATCTTCACAAACTTCATTTTCAAGAATATATCATATATCACATGTTTCGCTATCACAGTAGAATCACAAACCTGTTGTTTTTCGTTCGCTTCAGCCTAGTTCGAGGAAAGATACTCTGAAAGAAATTCAATTTTCAATTATGGGAAATCGTCGACTTTATGTTGATGATAGACACTATCTTGCGCTGACGAGTGACCTAACAGCTATGTACCGATCTGCAAGTGTGTTCCATTAATTGAAAATCATCAACAGCATATGCAGGAATAACTTCAATGAAGAATCCTGAACTGACACCTGTCGGATATAATCCAAAGCTCTCCATGGTATTAGCGAGGGGAGTAGTTGTTTTCTAATAGGTGTCAGTTCATTAACCTACAGTGTAGGTAAGTTGAGACTGGCCTAAACGAATTGTAAGCTTAGATAATTCAACTTTCAGTATGTCATTCACTATGAAAGAGCTACTGTGATAGCGAAACATATGTGATATATTTTTGAAAATATAGTTTTTGAACAACAAATCGTAAGGTGTAATTCATAAAAAAATCCAAAAAAACTATTTTCGAATCAGAAATGATTCCAAGATCTTTAACATTGCTGCAAATGCCTACATCATGATGTTCTAATGTGTGATTATATTTTGAATGATTAATTCGGCTAAATGTAATATGATGACACTTTGAGGTTTTTGTTGAGGGTACTTTTTGGCAGTACTCCATAAGTCTGTTAAGATCTTCTTCTATAAGCAAAGAATAATTTATTCCCAAGTTGCGTGGAAAAATTGCAATAGAAGCTTTTCGAATTTTTTCCCTATCAGGATATAGTGCTGAATGAAATATTCAAAATAGATCATAGAATTTCATCACTTGTCGCTATTTTTTCCAATATGAAGTGGTGTTGGTTTCCCCTCGCTGTGTGTGTTTCTTATGCTCGGCAATGCGAAGGTTCAATGGCCTCTTTTGTTTCACCAATATAGGATTTTCCGTACTCACAGGGTATTCGGTAAATGCAATTCTTGGAATCGCAGTCCGCGTTTGATGGCTTGGATTTCGTGAGGTTCCCGATCTGAAATGGGTTCTGATGTATTTGGATCCAATTCTTCTTATCCTTTTCGATAATCCTCTGATGTAGAGAAGTGCAAGCACTGGTTGTTACAGCTTCTCTTCCTTGCGAGGCTCCTGCTGTCTTTTAGCCAAAGTCAGTTCCACCATCGCTTTGGAGTACCTAGCCGTTCCGTTAAGATAATTTTTGATGTCTAGTTCCTTTCCGAGACCTTCATTCGTTTTACATATCCCAAGATCCTGGTCTAATAGAGTCTTGATGATTCCTCTTTAAGTCGATTGATGGTGATTGAATTCGTGGTTCAGATACTATCCCGTGCTTGCTAATATGATTGTTACTTTCAGCTATTCTTTTTAATTTGTATTAGCTTTTTTAGGGATTTCAAATCATTTTATATATTTTTAGACAATGGAAGTCCAAAGTAATGAAATTCGGCTTATTTTAACTTAGCATCAAATAAATGCTTTATACCATCAGAAACAGTTAATGATTTCCAAAATCAAAACCTAACCTAACCTAACCGAACTCTATTTGGTGATACCCGGTATACGTTATATGGCAATCATATTACTCAATTCAGGTAGTATCAACCAACCTAACCTAAGTTGATTTCACTTCATCACACAGGCAGTTGCCACATCTTACCGTGCAGAAATGTCAGTACAGACAGTAAGGTTATAGGTTAGATCCCAGTATCAATTGTCAATTTTGAAAATGCAATGAATTCAATGTGCTGACATCTGAATGCAAAGTGTACTTTACAGTTATAACTGTGAGGTCACCCTCATAAATATGACTATATTAAAATAATATACATTTTGGTGGACGTTCTACGCTATCATAGATGCATGTACAACTGCAATTATTTTTCCATCTTGGCAACAATTCACCAAATTGATTTCAAGTTACCATCTGAAAATTCACGTTTCGAATCGATTTTCAATTTTTTTCCCAAAATATCTACTTGAAAAGAAGTTTATCCAAAATTTTGGATAACTTCTTTGCCAGTGAGAAGTTAGCGTTTCCACATTTCCGGACCGCGGTGGTCGCTTAACAAATACTGGCATCAATGGATACTTAAAACAGGCTATTTTTGGAGTTTTCAGAAACATTAATATGTTATTTTGTTGGAACCTTTCTCAAATATGACGATCTGAGTTGTATAGTGTTCTCAGAGCAAAATTCACAATCATTATTGAATGATAAAATCAACAAGTAGATACTCTACAGGGACTGAAATCAGTTCTATTCCTGTCGATTCATGTGCCTTTGTTTGTAGATGAATATAATAACACTCTGTTTGTAGTCTAACAATAATTCGCTCTCATCTCTGATGGTTTTATTATTCAATATCAAATTGTCAATTCGGTATATCTTTGGATACTCTTGTTATTCGAACCTAATACCACATAAAGTTATATCGTGGTTCATTTAAGTTTTTGGAAGTTTTGGTGTCATACATCAATTTTGATCATTTCTGAAAATTTTAATGGAATTATGTTTCCCTTGATAATAAAAAGCGGATGTAGTCAAATCCAGTGAAATCATGAATGAAGAGATGATTGGTTGTAATTTATAGACATTTCATCAATGTAGTTTTTGTTAAATGAACTCGTTGTTGGTTTTACAGGTTTAGTTAATTTTTTTCACAGACTGACAAACCTGTGAAACCACCAGAACACCAAAATCCTCTGCTACAAATGGGTCTACATCACTTTCTGTTTGACTCTAATCAATATTTTCTTATGCTAGTTATTTGCAAAAAGGACTAATTAACTTTGTTTTATTTTTGCTGCTTCCTCAAAACGATTCTAAAATTTTATATTGTGATAATATGTAATCTTTGAATGAATAAACGATCGTACACGACGATAGTCGACAACGACAATAGTCGACAACGACAATTTTTATGCAGTTTGTGGCAGGTTTGTTTTTTGAAACATTGGTGAAAAAATAATTATGTTTCTGATCTGTTACCCTGTTACCCAACAAACCTTTCTATGAACAAGGCTTGTTTGAAGGTGAATGACAATGTTTCGTGATGAATTTCACTAGTTCGGACTTCCATTGTCTATTATATAAAATGATTTGAAATCCCTGAAACAAGTAAAAAAAAGAATAATTAAAAAAGAATAGTATCTCGTTTCGAAAGGTTTTTGATTTTAAATGATATGAAAAAAAAAACATCGATTTGAAAAAATCATCAAAATCGGAACTGTCACTGCGGACTTCCGAAGAAAATATTTCATTAACTTGACTAAACTAACACTTCGATAACCCTCGACATCTGACGCAATTTTTCAAACGGTCGCCTCCAGGAATTTTTTAGCCGTGGCTGACTAATTATTGGCGATATTAGTGCGAAAATAGTGGTCTAGCAGATCCGAGTCACGTCTATAGTTTTGAATAAAATAATAGCCGAAATCGCTTGGAGGGGCGGGAAGTATTAGTCGGTGCCTGCGGCAGGCGGCAGGACCAGAAATCCATGGACTCCGACGTCAAAGCTGTTCGCCAGGACGCTCTGAGACCGACGGCGAGATAAGTTGAGAGAAAAGTACGGGCGACGGCAAAACAGTCGGATTGCGCCAGTATCGTGAAACGTCTCCTCATACGAGCGAGTTAGTGAGTGCATAACGTCAGTATTAGTTCAGTATCAATAGTGAGTCCGCGGCGTTCGCACCGCTGAGGGTTATCATGCCAACGTGTGTCGTGACGACGGTGCTAATGCCGAGGTGCCATGTGCATCGGGGCAGCCTCGCCAGTGACAGACAGTGACAGTGAGCGACAGTGCGACACTATGTCCCAGTCATGGTGAAGACGCTGTTACTGGGACTGCTAGCTGCTACAATTTGTGGTTTCGTGAACGCCTCGCCAATCGCCGCTGATCTTCGCAACCCCAAAAAACTACCCCCTCGCCAAGACTTGGAAGACCCAGAAACTGAAGCACCACCGCTCGACGATCCGGCAGCACGCAGCGAACGAAGCACCAATCTTTCTAACATCACCGGTGGGAAACTCAAAATGTTCATAAAAAACCGACACCTGCAAATACTTCCCGACGGCACCGTCAACGGGACCACCGACGACACCAGCGCTTACTGTGAGTCCTTTCATTTTTCTCCATCATTCAAACACCAAAAAACAATGAAACACCACCATACCACAATAGGTGGAGCAGTCTTAATATCTATTCCCAATAATAACCCGGGCGCAACCCGATTGACGAAACCATGTGAACAGAATATATTTTTCCAAATGGGTCCTTGAACTTTTTCATTCCCAAGCTCAAAAAACTTTGTTCATTAAAACAATACCAGCTGAAAACTATAGGAACACGTGGAGACTGAAAATACCGCCAAACTTCCGGCATTTTGAAGATGAATTGGTTTTATGACCAAGGCCAAAAAATCTTTTCAAACAGTAGTGCTACTTTTGTAAGATAACATTTAGTCTAGGACTACCGCATTATTAACACTTACTTTGATAATGAATGCGCAACCCAAATAACAAACGCAAATATTAAAAAAAAGATCTGTCATCTGCAAGTGAGTCCTTGAAATGTTTTATAGTCACAGTGACAAATACTGACATCGTGAACACGTGAAAAATTTAAAATATATGTCAAAATTCATTTCGACTGTCAGCAATCCATTTAATCCCGTTTATCCTGAAGTTCCTAATATTTGGTCACAATCAATCTGATTCATTTATAATATTATTAAAACAAAAATTATATTACAATTCTTCGCAAAAAATTTTTATTCGTTCTTAGGATATATCGCAGGATATATCTATTATGGTTACCACCCTATCATCGTTTTCTACTCGTTGGATAACTTCATTATTGAAATGGTACAATCAAAATAAAATCAGTAAATTCATAAAGAATTCAAAGTTATCGGCATTTGGGGTCATTCAACCTGAGTTTAATTCATTTCGATGCATCACACTCTGATTTTAGGAATAATTTAGTAAGTTTGATCATCAAACTAGCATCAAACTCCGTTTGAAATAATGTTATGAAAGGTCGTTTATCAAGAACAACCGAAAATACATAAATATTGTAATGTCTTGAATTATCTTAGAATTGAAAATTAGGTCTCAAAGAAAACATTGAAAATATAATTATTTTTTGACAGTTTCCCCAGATTTCAAGAAAACTCATAACTATGTTTACACTTTGGGTGACATAAACCGTACTTAGAAATTTCCAAAGAAAATGGAATATTTACAGAATCTGGGTGAAAATCCCAGGTTGTTTAATAACGTTTGGAAATCTGAATTTCTCCTGTTTCAATCGAAAAAGTGGGTCTTTAAAATACATCTTCAATAAATCTAGCTCGAAATCTATAATTTCTGTGAACCATATTTTTATTCCAAAAATGTCCCACATTTTGATGAATGAAAATATTTAGCTATATCTTTCAATGATAGCAATAAGGCACTTGAAATTAATCGACAAACTACGACATTCAAATGACTATCCACATCAATTTGTCACAAAGATATGTCATAAATTGAATAAAGAAAATGAAAGTTAAAATTATAAACAATTTAATCTCATGGCCAAGTATATAACTATCGTTTTACTCGTAGTCGAGTCTGATAACCATTGAAATTGTAGCAATAATCCAAAAATTTTCATCCAAAATGTGTCCTTGACATCTATCACGTATTCAATATTATCCCGCTCCATAAAATGATAAAAAACATGTTGATTGACCAATAGTAAACGAAAAATCAAACCGAAATTACGATTACCAGATAAATATCTGATTACGAACGAACATGACTAAGTAGTTCGATAGATACCAATTTCAATTCCGCTACAGATTAATCAAACCCGAGATCAAACCTGATCTATTGGTAATGAGTGAACTGACGACGATGTATATTTTAGAAAAAACCGTTAACAACATCGTGGTAGTCTAACGAGTGAAAGTATCGAGAAAATAACCAGAATGTTATACACATATTCTTCCTCAGAGGTGCGTACCTAAATGACTGTTGAATCTTTCTTGAAATCAAAATAACTGACACAGAGAAGCACTATGTGTACATCAATCATTGTCGTTATTTTGAGCACCAAAAATCTTGTAACGAAGAAAATAAAATGAACTCCTATAGAAGACGAACGCTCAAATTACTCTTTGAATCACTGAAGTTAGCGGAGACACAAAACTGAAGGATTTGCCAGAGTGCGACGTTGATAACTTATAGAACCACTAACAAACTGAGTTTGGAAACTCTCACTTTCAATGGTTGACTACCGACACTATTCGAATTCGTTTTTCAATAATATCTCCGAAAGTGCTGGAAAAATCACGATTCAGTGGTTTAAACGTTAATGATATAAAGGACCCAACAAACAATAATGCAATTCCAACTTGGGAATTGATTGGAGGCGCTTCTGACTCAATCTTTTGAATCTCATAGAATATGGAGTGAATATCCCATCCCAAACAGTGCCCCAAAGATAATTGCGTAACTAGTCAATTGCCTTTCGCAATAAGCCTTCATAGTTTATTCGAAAAGTCGAAATTCCTATTCTTAGCTGCCGATGAATGTAAACACTGCCAATTATTATTACAAAAGAGAAAGAGGTTAAACCATTACCAGCGAAAGAGGTCAAATCATAACCATTTCAAACACAATAATATCATGTATAACGTCTAGTTCATTTGTTTTAGTAGAGTCCATCGTTTTGATGAGTGAAATCTATTTCAAATATTTGATTGTTATCATCAACAGGCTGTTTTAGGAATTCAAGAACGTGAGAGGCTTCAATGTTAGTGCCCCAAATTGAATAAAATTTTTAAATACGTAGTCAGAAAGGTATTTGCCATCAATAAAATGTTCATTTGTGTGGGAAACGTTAATTTTTGTTTTAATCCAGGCAAACTTAGTATGGTGTGTCCATACTTTTCAGCAATAATCTCAAGGTCATACACTTTTTCAAATGTTTTTGTCTGTAAAACTTCAAGTAGTTGGTTTCTGGCATAATGATCTTCAAAATACAAATTGTTATCCATTAGAAGACTTTGCATTTCATGGTTCCTCAAATTTTCATTCGATACTTCGATGAGCTGTCGCGAATTATAGCAAGCGTTGTCAAGAACTATTACACTATTGTCATCCAAATTTGGAATCAGTGTGTTTTCAAACCATTTCTCGAAAATATTAGCTTTCATGTTCTTATGATAGTCAACATTGCAGTCCCCAAGTTTTTTCCACACACTTTCAGAGAATTCGGAACCCATCCTTCACTTTCTCTGCAATGCACAATGATTAGTCGCGATTCTTTGTTTGCAGGCATGTTAGGCGTACACATTCTCGAACCATCAGTCTACCCTTTCGTAACTGTGTCGTGAGTGTCATACCAAGTTTCATCCAAATAGAAAATTTGCCGTTATTCTTGTCTCTATTCAGTTATTTGTTTTAAGTATTTGTTACGCAATTCCACTATTCTTCTGTTTTCCGTAACTGCTTGACGATTGTTTGTTATTTTTAATTTAAATCCTAGTTTCTTTATCCAATTCTGAAGGTTTTGTCACAGCAGCTCACGTTATGGCCGAAAGTATTCAATTTATTCCTTATGATTTTCAGTTTCAGTTTTGTAACAGTCCTATATTGTTTTTTTCAATGATTTTGTTATATGAACATCTGAAGGTTTTGGTAATCCTGTATCACATCGCGTCTTGTGTTCATAAAGTTTGTTTTTGACTATGTGTTGCTTGTAATGGTTTGTTGTAATAGTAATAGTTTGTTTCCTTCGAAACCAAACTTGAGATGTAGGGGCAAACCGCGGACACGTGTTTCTGCTATTGGCCTCATCAGCGCGGCCGTAACACCGTAACATGACTTCAAATTCAATTTTATCATAAAACTCGGTTTGTAAAAATTATCCAATACGAACCACCAATTCTATATTACACGTGGACTATTTCGCAACCGGTTCATTTCTATGTATTGGTTTTTTGGCCTTTGAGAGTGCCGGCAACTTTAAGAGTGCACAATATCTTTTACTTCGACTATAACAGTTAATACTTACTATAAATTTTCTTGGTAATTAAATCTGATAAAACTTCATTTTCTCAAATTCGGTGTAATTTTAATTATGGAAATGCTTTTTAGAAGGTTTTAATCAATAGTTGATAGCATTAGGCTGAAGATAGCATGGAAGAGTTATAAAAACTCATTCATTCAAAAATTTCATAATTTTTTGAACAATTCAAAAGCATTCAGTATAGCCTCTCTTTAGAATTTAATAAAGGGGTTCATACTGTAAGTTAAAGCTATTGCTTCAAGTTATACGTACGAGTACAAAATACAAAATTTCAATGCAAACATTGAGATGAGATAATTTGTTTTTATACTCAGTTTGAAAGTCGAAACATTTTTTCAGTAGCAATATTATAAATGAATGAGAAGTTTGAAGATAAACGAGTCTCCGAAAGACGGTCCATTGCAAAGACAAGCGTCAATATCGAAAAATTATTTTCTGCAAGCAAGCTAGCAACTGCTTCCTTTATGATGAAGTTGGATTCACTCGGGCTTCAATTCAAAATATGGAAATTCATGCAACATGGACAATAACCACACATCAGAACAACCTTCTCGGCGAGCGTTTCACCAATCAAGTTGGCATCATCAGGATATATGAAATGAACTATACCTCCTTGGTGAAATGCCGCGTCATCAGAAAATATATAGAATGGCGAGTGTTGGTAAACACGTATCGAGAAAAGTGTTGTAATTCTGGTGTATGAGAACAAGGTCTGTGTTGAATTTATTCTACGCTAGATGTGGGTTTAATGTTCCAAAAAACCTATTTGGAACTTATAATCAATAACATTTCGCACCAGCGATGAATGATAATATATACTGACAATCAACTGAATTCAAACCTATTTTATTCTACGAATACGGTATAAGTGGCTTCCTATAAGACGGAAACTAGGACGGGGCAAAATATATCGAGTATTGGATCGATCCTACAGTGTATTCCAGTTCTTTATTTGTATAATTTTCGTTATAATTCCATCTAGCCATTTCTAATCATTTCTAAATACCTATTTGGTAACCAAAAACCTAATCAAA